CGCCGCACCATGTCACACACAGAGCAGAGCTGATCAGAGAGTTGGAGCGCCACACCCTGTCACACACAGAGCAGAGCTGATCAGAGAGTTAGAGCACCTTCCCCTGTCACAAACAGAGCAGAGCGAGATAGAGAGGTTGTGGCCCCGCCCCCTGTCACACAGAGCCACAGAGCGATGAGGGGGTTTGGGCGCTGCCCCCTGTCACGCTGATTCCGGTGCTGGGAGGCATATTACCCTTTTACTATATAGAATAGAGGCCTGGTGCAGGGGTGGGGGCCGGCTGGTTTGCCCTGAAGGGTGTCCTGGATCAGGGTGGGGGTCCCCACTGGGGTGCCTGGCCAGCCTGGATGAGGGGATGATGGCTGTTTGCAGCTGGTCACACCCCCTTCAGGGTGGGGGTCCCCACTGGGGTGCCTGGCCAGTCTGGGTGAGGGGCTGAGGGCTGTTTTCAGGCTGACGGGTGACTGAAGCTCCCAACCTGTCCTTTTTTCCTTTTTTTTTTATTCTGGGCCAGCTTTAGCTCTGAGGCTTGGCTCCAGCTCTGAGTCCTCGGCTGCTGAAAGCAGGTATCTGGTTTGTTTGGGTTCCATAATTGTAACACTGTTGCGGTCCTGCTCACTCCAGCTCTGAGATCCCGGCTGGCAGAAAGCAGGGATCTGCGTTTGTTCTATAATTGAAACAATGTTGCAGTCCTGCTGGCTGAAGCCCAGCTGGCTGAAAGCAGGTTTCTGGGGTTTTGTTTAGCTTCTGTATTTGTAACAATGTTTCTTAAACTGCAAGCTCAGAGGCCGGCAGCAGCAGGCGGGGAACGTTGGCTTCCTCCATCACTAAAGCAAGCAAGCCTCCTGTTCGCTTCAATCTGCCTGGCTGCCGTCCGCCATCTTGGTTGGCAGTTTATTTGCATATCGCCCTGATTAGCCAGTGGGAAGGGTAGCGGAGGTATGGCTAATTACCATGTTTCTCTATTATTAGATAGGACTAGAGGCCCAGTGCTCGAAATTCATGCAGGGGGTGTGTGTGTCCCTCAGCCCAGCCTGCACCTTCTCCAATCTGGGACCCCTCGAGGGATGTCCAACTGCCCGTTTAGGACTGCTGAATCCCAACCGCTCGCCCGCGTGCCTGATTGCCCCTAACCACTTCTGCGTGCCAGCCTGATCAACGCCTAACTGTTCCCCTGCAGGCCTGGTCCCCCCCTACTGCCCTCCCCTGCTGGCCTGATCACCCACAACTGCCCTCCCCTGCTGGCCATCTTGTGTTTACATGGCGACGGCCATCTTGTGTGTTGGAGTGATGGTCAATTTGCAGAATACTCTTTTATTAGATAGGATTCACATTGTTTTAATTGTGTGTGTTTAGGAATAACTGCAGCAATGTGGAGAATATGTAATGACCACTCTTAAGTTACATACTAATTTAATCCTTAATACATTAAAAAGGTCAATATAGCCCTAGCTGGTTTGGCTCAGTGGATAGAGTGTCAGCCCATGGACTGAAGGGTTCTGGGTTCATTTCTGGTCAAGGGCACATGCCCAGGTTGTGGGCTCGATCCTCAGTAGGGGGCGTGCAGGAGGCAACCGATCAATGATTCTCTCTCATCATTGATGTTTCTATCTCTTCCTCTCTGAAATCAGTATAAATATTTAAAAACATTTTTTTAATTAATTAAAAAACTGACAAAAGCCACACAATAGAGTACTTGTTAAATTTTTACAGTAGTGATTACTTTCTTTTTTGAAGATGTAGAATAAACCCTAGTGTAATAAACTTGATACCAGTTTATATTTTTAAATATCAAAGCTTATTCTAACTCTAAATATTTCAGTAATTAAAATGACAGAAATGAGATATCGATTTAAAAATAAAATCTATTGTAGAAGAAAGCAAGTATAGGAATCAGTATCACAGTACATTTATAGAGCTTCCAAGATAATTATGATTTTCCATCCTTTTTCATGACTGTGATTATGACAATCTGGAATTCTATGAAAATGTATACTAATAAAAGCCAAGGTGGCCCTCGCTTGCTATGTCACAAGATGGCTGCCATCTATACTATCTATTCTATACTAATAAAAGCCTAAGTGACCCTCCTGCGTGATGTCATAAGATGGCCACTTGCACAGCGGAGGCGGGGCCCCCAGGCTGCTCTGCACAGTAAGGCCTGGGGGTCCCGCAGCGTAGAGGAGGCGGGTTGCGGCAGGGGAGGGCAGTTGTGGGTGATCAGGCAGGCAGGGGAGGGCAGTTGTGGCCGATCAGGCTGGGAGGGGAGGGCAGTTGGGGGAGATCAGGCCGGCAGGGGAGGGCAGTTGGGGGAGATCAGGCTGGTTAGGAGCCAGTGGTCCCGGATTGTGAGGGTGCAGGCTGGGCTGAGGGACACCCCCCTCCCCCCATGCACAAATTTGGTACACCGGGCCTCTAGTTATATATAAAAACAAAGAGGTATAAAGTAAATTCAACTCCTATTACAGTAGTAAAAAAGAATGGACAAAACTAAAGAAGTAACAATGGCTTATATATGTAGGTTGTGGCAAAATAGGTTTATAGTTGTGAGTACATGAAACACAAAGTTTATTCTAGTAGTATTATTAATTATTGTGTTATTTTCCACACGAACAACTTTAAACCTGCCTTTGCCCACCCTGTATATCTACCAGTAGGAAACAGTTTAGTAAATTGATACATATGATGAAATACGATACAACCATTAAAAACTATAATGAAGACTGCATAACTTGGGAAAATATTTGCTGTCATAAGAATGGTAAAAATTTAATGTGGACACTGATTATATCCATAAATATGTACCTGATAAAAGGCAGAAAACAGACAAAAATCAGCTCTGTGAGTTTTTTGTTAAACCCTGATAGTTGGTTAATTTTCTTTTTAAAAAAGTAAAATAAGAAGTAGAGAAAAAAAAAAGAAGTGGGAAAAGGACCATTTAAGTGTTATAAGAGAAAAATGGAGGTGTCCTAAGAAAATAAAGTCAATAAATGATGAGAAATGGGAGAATAGAAGAAATGTCCTTGTTAATAGGTGTCAGATAAAAACGAGAAGCTCTATAAAATGAATCGTCCTTTATGGGGAGCTGAAATTCTTGTCCAGGAAATTTTGGAATCTAGATCAGGGCTGTTCAAGTGGGATTTTTTGGTAAAGAATAGAATCTAAAAGTAGTTCTTACTGAACGTTAGAGTTCTATATGTATATCACATGATTTTCCAGGATTCTTTTTTGTCTAGTATTCCATGAAAGAAATTTTTTAGTTTGTGGCCCTGGCTGGATAGTTCAGTTGGATGGAGCAACATTCCCATATGTCAAAGTTGTGGGTTCAGTCCCCAGTTAGGGCAGAGTGAATCAACCAATGAATGCATAAATGAGTGAAACAATGAGTGAAACAACAATTGATCTCTCTCTCTTTCTCTCAGATCAATTAACAAATTAAAATATTTGCATTTTGCTTCATTTCATGTATGTTGCTATTAAATACTAGAGGCCCGGTGCATGAAATTCGTGCACAGGGGTTAGGTCCTTCAGCCCAAACTGCACCCTCTCCAATGCGGGACCCCTCAGGAGATGTCCGACTGCCTCTCGCATTCTGGGACCCCTGGCTCCTAACCACACGCCTGCCTGCCTGCCTGATCACCCCTGATCACCTCTACCTGCCTGCCTGATCGCCCCTAACTACTCCCCTACTGCCCTGATTGTCCCCAACTGCTCCCCTGCTGGCCTGACTGCCCCTAACTGCCTCTGCCTCGCCCTGCACCCAGGACCCAGTATTCCCTCCTCTGGCCGGTCCCAGGCATCCAAAACCCAAGCTTCCCTCCCTCTGGCTGGCCACAGGCACCCAGCACCCAGGCTGACTTCGGCCAGGCTGGCCAAAGCCGCAGGGGGCCGTGGGCAGGCAGCTTCGCCCAGGCCGCAGCCACAGGCGCCCAGGACCATGGGGTGGGCGGTTTGTCCCTCTCTTTGGCCACAGGCGCTGGTGCCTGGGACCACGGGGTGGGCAGCTTGTCCCTCCTGTGCTGCAGCCCCAGCTGCTGGTGCCTGGGACTTTGGAGCGGGCGGCTTGTCCCTCTCCCAGGCCGCAGCCTTGCTGGTCCCCATTCCTCTCTCCCCAGTGTTGAGTGTCTGAGCCATTACTGTGTGCCTGTGTGAGGGTGTGACAACCATCTGCATATTAGCTCTTTATTATATAGAATTCTGTAAAACAATTTTATGTTGCAGTTGTCAGTGAAAGAATTTTGCATAATTGTTTTACAATTAATGTTAAAATAATGAATGTGTGAAATGATTTATTTCCAAGATACACGTTCGAGTAGCTTCACCACCAATTAAATATCCATGCTTCATGGGAATAAACATACCAACCAAAGAAGAGCTTATTGCTAATAAACCAGAATTTGAACACCTTGCTGAATATCTAGGTAGGTATTAAAGTTTCTATAAAATTTACATTTATTAATTTATTAACAGAAAATCCAAAGCTTGTCAATCTTAGTAAAAGAGTATTAAATATTTGTTAAAAGTAGAGGTTGTGTATGTTGAGCAGATATTGAACACTATTCTGAATAGTGAGGGTGCTGGTGTGTATATACACCATAGTGAGTGCTGTGTTAGATCAAGGTGAGATGAGAAAAAAAGGATGAAAGGTTTTCCAGATAGAGGAAATGCATGCATATCAGTTAAGCCTCCCAAAGTCAGATCCCAAGAAAAAAAAAACATGATTTCACCACAGATTCTAGCAGAAAAATTTGAATGTGGATACAAATAGAATGAACAGCTTATGTGGCTGTTCGTTATCTTTAACAGCTTCATTATCTTTAATAATGAAGTCAGGAGACTTGGAGATCTACGTTACCCTGGATAAGACATTTGCTTTTTTAATTCAGGTGAAGTATAAACTATTTAAACAGCACATAGATGTTCAGCCAGTGTGCCTTGGTACCTACCTCCACACTTGTTATTTATAGCTGGTGTTCCTTTATGCCCTTTTCTTTTTCCCTCTTTCCCCCAATAGGAGCAAACAGTGTTGTATATCTGTCAGTAGAAGGACTGGTTTCATCAGTACAAGAAGGAATAACATTTAAAAAACAGAAAGTGAAAAAGCAAGATATTATGATTCAAGAAAATGGGAACGGTCTGGAATGCTTCGAAAAAAATGGTCATTGTACAGCGTGTCTCACTGGAAAATACCCTGTGGAACTGGATTGGTAGCTGGTAGGGGTAGATACAATGTTTCAAGATATAAAGTTGGTTAAAATGTTACAGTGGTTACACTTTATCCATTTAGTGTTCCTCAGCTGGTACAATGTAAATGCCACATGGTTACGTGTAAGTTTTTGAGATGTTTTATTTTTTCTGAAAAGGGTACCAAAGTGCTCTCTCTTTAATAAGCCTAGATAAATATTGTGGTGTTATCTAGGAACTTGGCTAATCCTTTCAGTTTTACTTAATTGTTTAGTACTTAGAGGCTATCAGTTATGAGATTGTCAACAGTAATGTAAAGGATGGGTAAATTTTCTGTTTTAGAGGGCATTTCCAGGTACTATACCTTACCACAGGTTGTTAATAGAGTTTTGTGGAATGTTTCTTGAGAGTTACCAAAGTTCATTGTGGAATATTTTCATAATTGAACCTTGCTAGTTGCATATAATGCAACAATGTTGGTATTCTTTTTTTAACACAAGCATCAGCTAGCCATTTTCACCTGGTCAGAGAAGGCAGCTGGTAAGAGGCATTTGCCAGATCCATGCTTCAAAGAGTTTGCAAGCAGTTAGACTAAGATGGTGTGATACAAACAGGACAAGTAAGTTAAATATAACGCTTCATGCAAATTTCTCATCTGTTATAGCCCAACGGTGTCAAGCCTCTAGAGTTCTGATTATAGTTATGACCTTGGCTTCCTTGTCTAACTTTAGACAAAAATATTTTTAATGCTTTTTTGTGCCTCACTTTCCCCAACCTGTGCAATGGGGTACTGGCATTACTAAATTAAATAATTAATAGGAATGTGGATGTGTCATATTCTTGGTGGGCTGAGCCATCATTTCACACCTGTATTTAAGATATTGCATGATTATTATTTTCTGAAATGATGAAGGGAGATAGAGTTTAGTCGTACTTTGCCACCTGCCTTTGAGATGCCCTAAAAATGATTGTAAAAATACGTGGAAAAAGTTTGACGAGAAAGTGTGATCCATACTACTTAGTGTCCTGATAGTATAAAGCGCAGCAAGGAACCTAGTGTGTTTGAAGTAAAAAATAAAATTTTAGGTTCTAATAAACTTTTAATTCTTACTTGGATCACTTGCAAGCATATATACACATTCATGTCATTGCAATTAAATGATCAAGTAGAAGAACTGTAGGGACCAATTTTATTAAAGGAACAAGAAGACAACTACTTTTTTGGAATTAGCATGCTCATCTAATTCCAAACATCAACTTACCACTTTTTGTACTTAGTTTTATTGGGACTAACGAATTTGAATTTTTTGAAGTTTTTTTTCTTGTAACATCTGAGATTTAAAATTTTAAGACAACTTGCCTCTAATTCCTATTTTTGTAAGATTTTTAAAACAGAAACATGTTCTGTGTTATTTTTACCATAATTTGATGTATATAGTTTCCAAATCCATTTGGAAATTTAATATTTATTAGTAACAAATCTTTTTGTCTTCATTTGGTATGTAGTCTCACATGTTGTATTATGGTAGGCCAAGAAAATATCCTGACAGCTCTTTTGAGACCAAGAGCATCCAGGCAGCAATGGGTCAGGTAACCCTGTGGCAGTGACACAAGCATAAAACCCTGGGACCATTTGAGTGTATAGCCTCTTGTCCTAAATGTATTTCTCATAGCAGTATGAAGGGGGCAAGACTTATGGGTCAGTTTTGAACAGCCTTATTTACGTTTGGTTTTTAAAAATGAGTCTCAGGGAAAGTGCTAAACCAAAATCTCTTATTTGACTTTTGTGTTTTCCATAGTTTTTATTTTGTTTTATTGAAATGCTTTTATAATGAAATAATGTACTATATGATAGTTCGGTAATTCTTCAAATTTCTTAATGTTTCTCCATCATGGCCTTTTATTTCACAAATTTCTGAAGTCTGAATTACATTTTTTTTACCAACTTAATCTGAAATGTTTAACTGCTTTAAATTTATACGAGTATTGTAAACTTTAGAGAAGATGAAAAATGTGTTTTCATAGGATCTATATTGTTGTGAACTGAACTAAGCCTACTTTTTTGTGACTTCATTTTGATGTGCTGGTGCAAAATATATATAATTAAATATGTTTAAGTGTGTGTGTGTGTGTGTGTGTGCTTTTTATTATTTATTTATTTATTGTTGATCCTCACCCGAGAATATCTTTCCATTGATTTTTTTTAGGGAGAGCGGATTAAAGAGGGAAAGACAGAGAGAAACATAGATGTGAGAGAAACTGGTTGCCTCTTGCATGAGCCCCAACCAGGGCCTGAGTGCAGGGGAGGAGCCTGCAGCTGAGGTACATGCCCTTGACCAGAATCCAACCCGGGATCCTGTGGACCACAGGCCGACATGCCATCTACTGAGCCAACCCAGTTAGGGCTGTGTGTGTGCTGTTTTTTTTTTTTTTTTTAAATAGTGACTTTTAGCCCTGATCGGTTTGGCTCAGTGGATAGAGCGTCAGTCAGTGGACTGAAGGGTCCCCGGTTCGATTCTGGTCAGGGGCATGTACCTTGGTTGCAGGCACATTCCCAGTTGGGGGTGTGCAGGAGGCAGCTGATCGATGTTTCTCTCTGATCGATTTCTAACTATCTCTCTCCCTCTCTGTAAAAAATCAATAAAATCTTTTTTTTTTTTTTTAATAATGACTTTTAGCCTGGCCGGGTGGTTCAGGTGGTTGGAGCATCATCCTGTTCAACAAAAAGGTTGCAGGTTCAATTCCTGATCAGGAGACATACCAATTTGTGGGTTCTACCTGGTCAGGGCCTGTGCAGGAGGCTAACAATTGATGTTTCTCTCTCACATCAATGTTTCTCTCTCCGCTCTACCCCTCTTCTTGTCTCTCCAAAATCAATAAACATATCCTTGGGTGAGGATTGAAAAAAAAAAAAAAAAAGTGACTTCAGTGTATTATGGTGAGTAGCACAATGACAGACATGTCACATCCAGGTTCAATAAATAGGCCATCTCTTAGGAATCGGGAAAGACCGCTGGCTGAGTAGGAGGGACAAATAATTAGAAATGCAATGCTAAGTAAGCACTATGATAATGGCAAGTTCTGTGGAAGCACTAGTGGGAATGGAGAGAGTATCACAGAAGATGCCTACATTTCCAAAATGTGTGTGTGTTAGAGGAGTTTTGATTTTTTAAAAACCAAGTAAATGCACATTATTGAGTGAAAGAATCCAATCTGAGAAGGATACATATTGTGTGATTCCAACAATATGATATTCTGGAAAAGGCAAAATTATGGAAATAATAAGACCAGTGATTGTCAGAAGCTAGGGGAGAGATAGGGATGAACAGGTGGAGCACAGAATTTTTAGGACAGTGAAACTATAGTTGGCCCTTAACATGGGTTTGAATTGCACAGATTCACTCAGTTTTTCCCCCAACAAATACGGTAAAAGTCTTACCTCAACTTTTCCTCTCCAGCTTATCTATATCTATATGTATAAAAGGCCAGCAACCGGATGGCAGAATGACCAGAACCACCTGAGTGACCGGTCGCTATGATGTACACTGCGGCAGCCAACTGGCCCAACCCGGGCCCCGATCAGCCAGCACCAACCTCCCATGACCCCTCCCCCAAGCCAGCCCCGCCCCTGATAGGCCCCCATTGGGGTGGGCCCTCGACCCCACCTGTGCATGGATTCGTGCACCAGGCCTCTAGTATATATTTAAAGGCCTAAGTGACTGGTCAACCAGTCACGATGGCGCGCACTGACCACCAGGGGGCAGATGCTCAGTGCAGGATCTTCCCCCTGGTGGTCAGTGCGCTCCCACAGCAGAAGTGTCATCCAGCTGACCGACCCCTCCTGGTGGGCCACCAGCCTGGCCACAGCCACTCCCTCCCTCAGTAGTCCTGCAGGCCCAGTCTCCAAAGAATGGGCCAGGCACCGACGGACTGGCGCTGCTGGCCCGATCCCAACAGCGCCACCGGCCTTCTGGAAGTCAGCCTTGGGCACTGCAGCTGCTTCACCTACCTAGACACTCCACAAGGAAGAAACGATATAAAAGCGGCCTCCATGTGGCTCCTGACAATCAGCACAAACGTCAGCAGGACAGATCCAGATCCTGGGCTGGCGAGGGCGTCCCCTGCCCACCCGGATGGCCAATCGCATCCTGCCTCCCCCTCTCCCCAGGACGAGTGCCAGACACAGGGCTCACAGCTGGCAAGCACCGCTGTGGTGGCACAAGTCTCTGACTGGGTGCGAGCCCATGGCAGGGTCAGGATGAGCAGAAGTGTCAGGCAATGTTGGACTGCCGGTTTCGGCCCAATCTTCGCAGGCCACACTGAGGGACCCCACCCGTGCATGAACTTGTGTACCAGGCCTCTAGTTTTATTATAATACTAGAGGCCCAATGCATGAAATTTGTGTCAGAGTAGGCCTTTTCCCAGCTGCTGGCACCAGTTTCCCTCTGGCACCCGGGACCCGGGCTTCCTTCGCAGCCCTGGCTTCGTCCGGAAGGACATCCAGTCTAATTAGCACATTAAACTTTTATTATTATAGATAGTATATAGTACATATAACATACAAAATGTGTTAATTTATCTGTATTGCATCTGGTCAACAGTAGGCTATTAGTAGTTAAGTTTTGGAGGAGTCTAAAGTTAGTGCTGATTTTTTTTTACTGTGTGGGGGATTAGTACCCCTAAATCTCCAGTTATTTAAGGGTCAGCTATAATAATAAAAGCGTAATATGCTAATTAGACCGGGATAGCTAAACAACCTTCTGGACGTCATTCTGGATGAAGCCGTGGTGTGGGGGCTGAGGCAAAGGCGGTTGGGGCGATCAGGCAGGCAAAGGTGGTTAGGGGTGATCAGGCAGGCAGGCAAGCGGTTAGGGGCAATCAGGAAGGCAGGAGAGTGGTTATGGGCGATCAGGCAAGCAGGCAGGCGAGGAGTTAGGGAGCCAGAGGTCCTGGATTGCGAGAGGGGTGTCTGACTGCCAGTTTAGGCCCGATCCCACAGGGTCGTGCCTAAACTGGCAGTCAGACATCCCCGAGGGTCCTGGATGCGAGAGGGTGCAGGCCGAGCTGAGGGCCCCTCGCCCCTCCCCACACCCCCGTGTACGAATTTCATGCACCGGGAGTCTAGTACTTTGTATAATGTTAAAACGGTGAGGTGTATGTCATACTTTTGTCCAAATCCATAGACTCTACAACACCAAGAGCGAACCCTAATGTAAACTAGACTTTGGGTGATAATGATGTACCATGTAGGTTCAACAATGTACCACTATAGTGGGCGATGTTGATAATGGGGAAAGATCTTCATATGAGGGGGCACAGGATACACAGGGACTCAGTACCTTTCATTCAATTTTTCTGTGAACCTAAAAATACTCTGTAAAACACACACCAGTATTTAAAAATAAAGATACCAGGGTCCCACCTCTAAAAATAAAAAAATAATACATGCATATACATTAAAAGTTAGAAAACAAAGGGTTCACTGGCCTCTCCAGTCCTCTTTAGTGCATCCACATTGAAATATTTTTCTGTTTTAACCTGTATATTTTAAATAATTAACTCATACTATTTCTGACTGTACCAATTTTAGACATCTCTTTCTCTTGCCCTAGAATTTAGCAAAGTCTGCTTTATCAACCAAAAAAATGAGTTCATGTGTCACCTCTGACACGCGTGTCATAGGTTCACCATCACTGCTCTAGGCAGTGGTTCTTAGCCTTCTGGCCCTTTAAATACAGTTCCTCATGTTGTGACCCAACCATAAAATTATTTTCGTTGCTACTTCATAATTGTAATGTTGCTACTGTTATGAATCGTAATGTAAATATCTGATATGCAGGATGGTCTTAGGCGACCCCTGTGAAAGGGTCGTTGGACCGCCAAAGGGGTTGCGACCCACAGGTTG